CCCCCCCTCCCGGAAATGCGCGTCCCACGCCGTAACAATTCCACCAGGGAGGGGGGGGTGAATGCCCTGGAGGCTGGTGCAGGACTGGGACACAGAGAATACCTCCAGGGCGGATCAGGCAGTCCAAGGTGCCATGGCGGCACAGGGAGCTCAGGGGCCATGGCGGAGCAGGCAGACTAGGAGCCCATAGCTGAGCAGGGGCCTCAGGAGGCCATGGTGGATCAAACAGTTCAGGAGGCCACGGCGTAGTAGGGAACTCAGAAGGCCTTGGCCTCTCCACTCGGCCCGGCCACTACAGCTGGGAACTCAGGAGCCCTCACTGGGCTAAACTCGGGGACAGGAGCCCTCTGTGGGCTAAACTCGGGAACAGGAGCCCTCCGTGGGCTAAACTCGGGAACAGGAGCCCTACGTGGGCTAAACTCGTGAACAGGAGCCCTCCTTGGGCTGGATTCAGGGGCTGGAGCCCACACTGGAGCACCGGCGGACTTGGCTTAGGAGCGGCCGGCGGACTTGACTTAGGAGCAGCCGGCGGACTTGACTGTGGAACGACCGGCGGAGGGGTTCCGGATCGGGAGTTCCGCAGGGCGATGGTATGTGATCCCGAACCGGAACAGTGTCACCAGGGTCTCCCCATCGAGGGAGCTGGCGAGGGCAAGCGGCCCGAATGCCCTCGTGTAGGTGAACATCGCTCATTCCTCCATTATAGCGGGGAGAAACAAACAGGAAAACAAATCACTTTTCAAAAACTAAAAACAAACACGGGGAGAAGGGGCGCCGCTTACTGTCACAGTCCGGTATTCTGTCACAGTGCTTCTGTGTTGGAGCACGGAGTGAGGAACGATGAGACCAGGAGTACATCAGCAAGGAAGTTTTTAGGCCAGGATACACCAAGCCGACAGTCGGCCATTGGCCAACGTCGGGCCGACGGCGAGCGACGGTCAGCCTAGTTTGTTTGGTGTGTTCCACTCGTCGGCTCTCGTCGGGCTCACGTCGGGCTCACGTCGGTGGCAGTTTGCCCGATTCAACATGTTTAATCGGCGTCGGGACCGGCGGCGCGAGTGAGAACTCTGATTGGATGTTCAGTTTAGCGAACGAGTCAGTGCCCGAGAATTAAAGCGAAAGTGATGAAAACAAGCACGTAAATGAAGGCGGTACAGACAAAAGGCTGTTTAAATGTTACGTGATCTTTCCCAATCATTCTAATACGCGAATGTTTTCATAACAACATGAGCCGCTTAAAATTATTAAAGTTATCAACGTTACTGATATTCAAAATGGTAAGCAAGCGCTGCTTTGTTTATGTTTCGTATATCCGCGTTTATCTCGTATATCTTTGTTTCGGTTTCTCCTTTTGAATGACGAATATATACTATTGATAGCTGCTGATATAGACAGTTAATTCCTCTCACGTATGCGCACTATGTTAGTTTGCCATCGGCTGTAGTCTGTGTGGTGTGTTCGAGCGCAGCTTTTTTGTCCAACGCTGTCGACGTGAGGTGACAAGACCATAGGCTTTCGTCGCAGCTAGTTCTTTGAAGTCGGCTTGGTGTGGCCCGGCCTTTAATTACATCCAGCACAAGGGAACCATGGATGCTGAAAATACAGCTTTGCATCACAGGAATAAATTAGATTTTTATGTATAATAAAATAGAAAAACGTTATTTTACATCATAATAATATTTTACAATATTTAATTTTTTCTTGCATTTTTGATAAAATAAATGCAGCCTTGATGAGCCATTAGATGTTTATGCAACTTTTTAGGTTTAGAATTTGTGCTATTTTAACAAGTTTACAGGTTACATGTTTTTTAATGACGTATATATATATATATATATATATATATACATATTTATTTATAGAATTTATTATATTTATATTATGCGTTCCCTGAATAGGTAGTTAAATGTGTGTTTGTATTTGTCTGTTTGCACTCAAATGCCTGGATATGTTCTCCTCTCTAGTAGCCAGTTGATAAAGTCTCTCAGGGGTTTTGATCACACAATGTCTCAGTTTAGCAAACAGCTCTGGAGCAGGCCTGTGCCAGGACTGTCTCCCTAGGTCTGGGCTGTCCGCCCTGGGCCGAAAACGGCCATCTGCTCCCTCCTCTGGAGCTCAAGGGCCATGCAGTAGCAGGGGGTTGTGAAATATTTGGAGATGTGTAACCGCCGCCAAAACCTCTACTGCTTGATAGTACACATATCCACGCAAACACACTTGAACAGGCACAAAACCTCTCCAGAGAGAAAACATATATCTGTCATAGCACTCATAGTCATGGTAAAGACGACTATAATTAGACTATTATTTGATGCTGTTTCTAGTTGATCAAATGCTAAGAAATTAAATCTGCTGGGTATTAAAACAGACTTTATCTGTAACATTCAGCCACTAATATGATCACACACACTCATACACTTCTCTTGTGTGTGTGTGTGTGTGTGTTTGTACATGCGTTTATGTATGTCTCACTATATGTTCACACCAAACAAGTGAATATGTCTTCCCACATATATTCTTACATGTGCGTGTGGAAACTAGAGCTGACAACAGATTTATTATTATTATTATTATTATTATTATTATTATTATTATTTAATTAAAAACAAATTTAATTAAATTACAGTCAGAGACTCATCAATATTTGGTGAGAATAATCAAATATAATCAAGATAATTTAAGATATTGTGGCAATAATCATTGTCAAAAATCATTGAATAGACATGATAGACAAAAAAAATTAAATTGCTGTATTTTGCACGAGTTTTGATGCAATCAGTGTTATTAAGTAGAACTATTAAAAATCAATTTCATTAAAGCTGAAATGAAACAAAGTATTATTAAAAATAAAATAAAATAAAGCTAAATAGAGGCTTATTATTATTATTATCATTATTATTATTATTATTATTATTGACAGAAACTAAATGACAAAAAGCACATAACAAAATAATTAACATTTTCAATTAAAAATAGCTTTGAAATTAAAAACATGAAAATATGAAAATAAAAGCCATTTCAAAATATTAATAAATACTAAAGTAGTATTTAAATATTACTAAAAACTAAGAGTATACAAATAGTATAGAAATAATATATAAATAATACTAAAATAACATTGGATGGAAAATATGTACGGGTAGGATCATAAATAAATGTTTTTTAATTATATAATTGTATCTATTTTAGATTTAGCATATCAAATTGAGCACCCTAGTAAAAACAGTGTGTGTGTGTGTGTGTGTCTGAAGTCCACCTGGAAACATTAACTAGGATGTGACACATCCTGTGGCAGTATCAGAGAAAGTCAAATAATCATTTACACTTGAAAAGCAATTTCTCAATAAGTACTTCTGACTTTTTTTCTTTTAAAAAATCCTTAAAACAAGATACATTTATTCAAAGCAAAATTGCATAATATATCTTGAATGTATTTTTCTTCGCCCACTAGCAAATAGCTTGTTTTATCACTAAATTGTTTTTATGTGTAAAACAAGAACAAACTATTTGCTGATGGGTTAAGAAACAAATTAAGATAAATATGCTCATGATATACTTATTATTCACTGCCAAAATGTTGTTAATTACAAAGGAACTAAAAAACAATATGTGTGCTATGTAGTTTTGTATGAGTTGTGTTGATGCTTTAGCAGCAAGCTTATGTCAGACTCTTTTGAAATCAAATGTGTGTTGAGTTTCCCATGCACTTCTATTTGTGAGCCTACGTGGAGTTGTTGCCTAGAGTTTGTAGAGCTTTCCGAATCAGTCATTTATGTGGTCATGTGATGAAACCTCCTGATTGTAGCTGTACACATACCATACTGAAACTTTTTATGCACTCTCTTCAGGTCTATTGAATGATAAAAAATGATTGTGTTAAACAATGCAGTTGTTCATTTGAAGCTGAATAAAAGCCTCTGGCACAATGTCCAGTTGGACTGGTTAAAGTTGAGTGATAATTATCTATATGATAATTGCCTAAAGCATTTCCTGACCGCGCTGGCTCTGCTTTTGTCCTACAGATCTGACCTGTTCAGCATGTAGTTTCACAGTGCCTGCAGGGAGGGTTTCTCTGACACTCTTAAGCCAGGACTTTAACTAAAGATTATTTACAATGCAGAGTTGTTTTTTACATTGTTATTTAGGCTGGGCTTAAGCAATAGTTCAACTAAAAAAAATTATATGTCAATTACTTTTCATGTTGTTCCAAACCTGTATGCCTTTCTTCGTATAATGGAATACAAAAAGATTTTACAGAATGTTTGTGCTGCTCTTTTCTGTAGTGACCAGGGATGTCAAGCTCCAAAAAGGGCAAAAAGCATCATAAAGTTATATCAATAAAATCCGTAAGTCTCGTGAAGCCATACAAGAGGTTTCTGTGAGGAACAGGCTGTTATTCTGTCAAATTCTTCCCTAATGCCATTCAAATCTCATTCATGTTTTCATATTCAAATGTAACCAGTCGCAACACGCTAAATTTAAATAGCATTTAAATAGCAAGAGATTTGATATCTACAACAAAGGGTGGGATTTCCAGTAAATATATCAAATATTGCTCTGTTCATCATACCACGGTTATTATCATTGACTAAAATTACTAAAAACATTTTTGTTAATTGAAGTAAAGCTGAAATAAAATATAAATATCAGATGAAAAACTAAATGGACATTAGAAATGTTGTCAACTAACTGAAATAAGCTTAAGTTGAGCACTAAAATGATTAACTGGAACTTCAAAAAATTTAATAAAACAACTAAAACTGAAAGAAAAGAAAATTAAACCTAAATAGTATTTAGATATTAATAGTAAATAAATAAATAATACTAAAATAGTACTGCATCACACAGGCTTCAGAAGACTTTAACTATAGTGCGTGGGTTTTTTTTTTTTTTTTTGTAGTTTGAGCAGCAGAATTCACTTCACAAATTGACAAATTCAAGTCAATGACAGAAATTTAGTCCAACTTTAATACTTGCTTACTCTATTTTGACAGTTTGTTTCTGTATGTTTTTGTGGCATTCTTCATTCTCTTGGACAGTAAGAGGAGTTAAAAAGAGTTGGACACAAATGAGTGTCCATCTGGAAGGGTGTGTGTGTGTGTGTGTGTCCAGAGGGAAAGGCAGCAGTTGTCTGTGGTTTATCAGATCAGTTCTGGACTGATCTGGGATCAGTGAACTGTTCATGTCTGACCCAAGCAGCTCTAGCACTTGTGTAAATCCCTGTCCATGTGATACATCAGGACCAGCCCTCTATCCACCCCCTCTCTCTCCCTCTCTCTCTCTCTCTCTCTCTCTCTCATTGCTCACTCACTGCTCTGTTTGCTCAGCGGCAGCATGCAGAGCCTACAGTCACTCACCTCTCCTAAAATCCCTCGTTCTTTGCAGGGATGAACAGCTTATGTTCTCTGCTGTGCATCAAGTACAGGTAGGACAGACAAGACTCCCACTGGCTTATTTGGTTGACGTCCAAAACTTCGAGTTTTTGTAACTTTAGAGCAACCTTTTAATCTCTTGCTGTCTTTCTCTTTCTGTTTGTTTCTTTTTACTGGATATGGATTTTGTTTCTTACCTGTTTATCGCTTCTCTTGCAAAGTGAAAGAAAGAGGTAAAACCAGTTTACAGCTCTCAAACTGGAAACAACAGTCAATAATTCATCCTGACAGTCTGGGTTTCTTTGAAGGAGTTTGTTTACCTTGTAATTTGGTGTGTTGTGTTTTAAATGGACTTCATACAGACTGTTGATAGACGTTTTTGTTAGAAAATACACAGGTAGAAAATGTTCCACATGGATTACAGGAGTAAAAAAAGTGTGCAGGTTTATATTTTATAGAAAAAAAATACACAAAATGTAGCTAAATCTCACAAAGCCTGCTTTAGAGGGCATCAGGGGATGATGATTAATGATGATTAAATTAATTATAATTATGAAAATAATAATTATTGAAGAATTGTTAAATATGAAATGATTATTAAAAGTATTACTTATATTAATAATTATAATGTTAAATAAAAACTTAATTATAATTTAGATTTTTCTAAAAATGCTATATGGTTTGTTTATTTATATGTAGAGTTTGGGTTAGTCTGTAGTATTTATAATTAATTTAATAATAGCTGTGTTTAAAAACAATAACTGTGACTTTAAATATGTGTATCTAAATATGAGGAATAATTCATCTAAAACTTAAAGCATTCTCTTATCATTCACTTACTTTCTTATGTGGAACTCAAAAGGAGAAGTTCAGCAGAATGTTCAAGTTGTTCTTTTTCTACAAAAGAGGATGAGGACTAGGGAATGGACAAAGGCCCCATAAAAGTATGAATAAAAGAGAACAGTTTGGACAGTTTGCTTTATATGTATTACACAGAAGAAAATCATACAGGTTTGTAAACACATTTTTCCTTTTTTTTTCAAGTGTATTGACACTCTACAGAGTGTTTGAAGTGTAAGGCTGTAATCTCTGTTTGGAGTGTTTGATTTGCTCTTTGAAAGGAGAGTTCAAAGTTCATCTTGATCCTGTCATATGTACCCAACGGCATGTGTGTTTACTCTGGTGGGGATTTTTACCTAAACCATACCTCATGGAAACTTTAAAGCAGTGCTGAACGGTTATTACGTCACTTGACTGTCTCTCTTTGTCTCTCTTCCGCAGGAGGTGTTTCCAAACGGCTCATTTCTACGTCGAGGACAGTAATTCGCCCAGAGTCGTGCCCAATGAGAGCATCCCGGTCATCCCCATCCTAGGTTGGCATTTTATAACAGATTTCAGATTAGTGAAACACTTACATTTGACCTAAAGACACACTCCACTCTGATCCGGTGTCAGGTGTGGAAGAAGTCATAGATAACAGGTGCTTTGATATGATCAAGGGTCGATAAAGTGATACAAAACATTATATGCATGTCTTTCTTGCTTACCTTGAATTATGGGTAAATAGTTGGATTACATAAGGTTTTTAACAGTGCCAAGACTGAACAAAGCTGTGACTGTCGTCTCAGCGTGTGTTTTTGTGGAATTGACTAACTCTGCGCGCTCTATAGACTGTTACTCTGTGCAATTAGTGTAGAATCTAAAAATCCATTGCTGCATTGATTTTGGCATGAAGAGGCTCCAATCAAGTTTTCAGCTTCTGGAAAACAGGGAGGAAAACAGCTGTGTTCACAAGCACGACGCACAGGGTGTAGCGCCACCTTTTGATTGATTTCATACAATTTTTTTTTTTTTTTGTGTGTGTGGTGCTTGCACTATTACTGTTTGAAACTCCTAGCCCAAAAGGCCAGGGTGAACTTCTTTTTCCGCATTCCACTCCATCTCCAAGCCTAATAATCGTAATATTCACTTGGATCAGTTAGTGAACACCCAGAAGACCCTAGCAATGCCTGACAACCACCAACAACACCCCAGAAACCACCTAGCAACAACCTAGCACACACCGTCAACATCTGAGGAACTAGTTTGCTAGCAAAGCTCTAGAAACCACCTAGTAATGTCCTGCCTACCACCCAGTACACCCTAGCAACTACTCATATTATTCCAGCAACTTCCAAACAAGTCATCCACAACACCCCATAAAACCTTGTTGGCCCCCCACAACACCCTATTAATGCCCTGACAAACACCAGCAGCTACCCACAGCACTCTAGCAATGCCCTAGCAAACACTTAACAATATCCTAGCAAACCATTTTGAGCACTCCAGCAACCACATCTTCAACACCACATTAGTACTTTGGCAACCAACCACAACACTCTGTTAATGCCCTAGCAATCACCTAGCAATGCCCTGACAACCACAAACAATATCTAAGAAACTACCTGGCTAGCAACATCCTGGAAGCCACATATCAGTGTCCTGTCAACCACCTGCAACTACCCACAACATCCTAGCAACCACAAAGCAGAGACCTAGCAACCATCCACAACACCCCAACAACACCCAAGCAACTGCCTGGCTAGCAAACACCTAGAAATATCCTGCAACGACCTGCAACTACCCACGACCCCCTAGCACAACCACTTAGCAACATTCTAGCAATGCCCTGGCAACCACCTAACAATATCCTAACAACCACCCATGACACCCAGGCAACTATCTGGCTAGCAACACCCTGGAAACCACCTAACAGTGTCCTAATACCCAAGTAACTACCTGGCTAACAACACCCTGGCAACCACCTAACAATATCCTAACAACCACCCACGACATCCAGGCAACTGTCTGGCTAGCAACACCCTGAAACCCCCCTAACATTGTCCTAACACCCAAGCAACTACCTGGCAACCAACCACAACACTCTGTTAATGCCCTAGCAATCACCTAGCAATGCCCTGACAACCACAAACAATATCTAAGAAACAACCTGGCTAACAACATCCTAGAAACCACAAATCAGAGACCTAGCAACCATCCACAACACCCAAGCAACTGCCTGGCTAGCAAACACCTAGAAATATCCTGCAACGACCTGCAACTACCCACGATCCCCTAGCACAACCACTTAGCAACATTCTAGCAATGCCCTGGCAACCACCTAACAATATCCTAACAACCACCCACGACAACCAGCCAACTATCTGACTAGCAACACCCTGGAAACCACCTAACAGTGTCCTAATACCCAAGTAACTACCTGGCTAACAACACCCTGGCAACCACCTAACAATATCCTAACAACCACCCACGACATCCAGGCAACTGTCTGGCTAGCAACACCCTGGAAACCACCTAACATTGTCCTAACACCCAATCAACTACATGGCTAGCAACACCCTGTAAACATCCTAATAACGTCCTAACCATCACCCAAATTACATGAACAACTACCGGGCTACCAGCGCCCTGGCATCTACCTAGAAATGTCCTCACAACAACCTGCAACTACTCACGACACCCTAGAAATGCCACAGCAGCCACTCAGAACACTCAATCAAAGACCTAACAACCAGTGTTTTTTTGGAATGGTGTTCCTGTGTTTTTAATAAGATGATTTTCTGGAATGGCTGGCCATGTCATGTTTACTGTAAACTGGATTTGATGAGTGTGCGCTACACCGAAGAGTTTGTTGAATATAGACACAGTAGCTGTTTGGGGAAATGTGGTCTTGTCAAGTTTGTTTAGGGTCTTCGCGGTTACCAGAGAAGACAAGTGCTGTTTATCTGGACCGTCTGCATGTGCACACACACTTTTACACACATACACATTAGCCATTAAGGTTGGAGCCAAGAAAATGGCTTCGTCTAACTGGCCTGTTTCTCACTTTAGCTCATTGCCTTTATTTGTGTTTGGGTAAATCATTAGCGGAGAGCGTAGTGGAACAGAAGTGGACAGTGTGTGATTTTCAGGGTCTGAAGGTGTCAGGTCCGGGTTAGTCAGTGTAGTGGAACCCAGATCTTAATGCAACAAGAGCCATTGATTCGCTCAGGCTTTCCCATAAGTACTTCATTGGAACCAATTCTCATTGTTACACTGTGGCACGGCTCACAATAATGGTGGCACGGTGCCCTCAATCCAATTTGGGCATCTGTGTTCCAGCTTGGCGAGGGCTGGCCTCAGTATTTACAAAGATCCATTTAGTGTGGGCAGCAGCCTCTCTCTTTGCTGGCTCCGGCTCATATGGCGCTTTGAGTTCACTGTCCTTTCAAACATGGATGCTTTCCTGCTAAATAGGGCCTTCAATTTCTGGCTGAATTTCCCAGTTAGTTTCTGGCATCCATGGGTGCCAAAATTAGTTTGTTAGCTGTATTCAGTTGTAGGCATTTTAGGATAAAGAGAGAAGGTGCGCGGATCGCCTTTTCTTCAAAAAAAATGTTTTTGTTTTTTTTTAAAGAAATTAATACTTTTATTTTGGATGTGTTAAATTGATAAAAAGTGACAGTAGAAATATTTATAATGTTACAAAAGATGTATATTTAAAATAAAGGCTGTTCTTTTGAACTTTCATAAAAGAATGCTGGAAGAAATGCATTACATTTTCCACAAAAAAAAATATTATGCAGCACAACTGTTAAGATAGTTAAGATAAGATCAAGTTAAGATAGTAATAAGAGATGTTTCCTGAGCACCATCAGCATATTAGAATTATTTCTGAAGGATCATGTGACACTGAAGACTGGAGTAATGATCGCAGGAATAAATTACATTTTAAAAATAAATAAAAATAGAAGTCAGTTATTTTAAATTCTAATAATATTTCACAATATTATTGTTTTTACAGTATTTTTTATTAAATAAATGCAGCAATATATTATATTATATTACAGTAATAAAATTAATAAAAGATTGAAGAAATAATTAGTAATTAGTAACCACTTTTAGAAATTATACTTATTACATTTTAATTATATATTATATGTTCATTATAATTCTATATTTTAGTTGTTAGTTTGTTATACCCAAATTAAATAAGACGAGCACATGCTTATTTCTGTCTTGATTTTAAAAAACATAATTTTATAGCGCTATGGATGTGTGTGTGTGTGTGTGTGTGTGTGTGTGTGTGTGTGTGTGTGTGTTTTGTGTGCATTCGTTTATTTTTCTCTTCTCCTGTATATTTAGCCTCAAACTGATTTTATTGACAGTTTGTCAGCTTATTGTGTGTCTGTCAGTTGGAGAGTGTGAATCTGGCCAGTCTTTTTGTTCACCATGACTGAAGTTGAACCTTGATCCTTCGTTCATCCTCTTAGACTCATCACAGTCGTCACATTGAACTGTTGATTATCTAATCAGCCAGTGAACCAATCAAAGCACAGGGACTACTGTTAAGATGAATCACTGTACCAGCACTGGAAACACTTGTATGCTACTTTTGCTGGCGTCAGGTGCAGTTTTGAATGTTTAATCAATGGTGAAATAATTACAAACAGTAATATTAATTATAGTAATAACTGCATTTATTTATAAGCTTTTTTTATCCAAAATTAAAGATCAAAATATTTGAAAGTCAACATACTGAATATTTTTAAGAGGCTTACTATCCATGACATGCAGTCATGAGTGTCTACAGTGCTCTTCTCTGTGATATTTCCTGTTGTATGGTTTTCTCACTATAAGACAACAAAAGTTTTTTTTTGCTCTGTTTCAGATGATATGGAGGCCATCCCTGTTAAACTGTTCATCAAGCATGTATCAGAACTCTACTCCAACAACCAACACGGCTTCTCAGAAGAGTTTGAGGTAAGATCTTCACACACACACTTCACAGACGTATCCGTCTCTATAATTCTTCCCTCTCAGCAAACTCCCTCAGACTTTTGTAAACACAGGTCCCGTCTCGTGTGGCTCACCCGGCCTCGCTGCAGCGGTTCTGTTGACAGGTTCTGGTGTCTGTCTGGGAACAGCTGGGCCGGGATCCCTCCGCGGATGTTTGTTATTTCTGGCAGGTGGCCATACAGGACAAGCCAATTGAACTCAGCCTGTGTGAGAATGAATTAGGCCATCTGAACATTGGCATCTTTTTTCACACCGAGTTTTTTGGACTCTCTCTGATGTGTGAGTGTTAGTGCAGCGCAGAAGCCAGAAAACCACAACAACATTCTGTCAGACTAATGTGACGACAGTTTGTACGAGGATGACTAGTAATTAGTTATCCATTGAGTCTTGGGCCACAGCGTCTGCTTGTGCTGTCAGTGGCCCAGCTGAATGTCAATGAATGATCTGAGATGTTCAGCCCCTGGTGATCACCTGCAGATCAGAGCTGCATGTACACGCACACACATGCTGGGTTTTATGTGTCCTCTGTGGATCAGGATTCAGAAATGTTCCAGACCTTTGGCTGTGCCAACATTACACAATTTTTTTTTTCTCAGATTCTCGAGCTGTTATCAAGCAGAAAGGAGGGACCACAAAACAATATTAACTTTTACCTGCTTTAATTGAACTTTATTTATATTTTACCAGCTAGCTAGCTTGCTAGCTTATTTATGTATTGCCCTCCAAAAACAATTAACAAGGGTCAAAATCGGAGATTTTATGGAGCAAAAATACCACAGAAATTATTTACATTTTTTTTATTTGCAAAATCTCTTCTTTATTGTATTTTATACATAAATTGATATTACTTAAATCTGTGGCCCTGCTAGTTCCAATTAGTTTTTTGTTCAGATTGTTTTTCAAGCCATTGTTGATAAATGCAGCAACATGAAGCATCTTATTACAAATAAATAAAATAAAAAAAATCTTAAAATAAAAACAATAAAAATGAACTGTATATTCAAAGACTCATTTTGGGCGTTTACTAAATTAAAATTAAATTAATATATGACAGCATGTTATGGTATGTAAAAAAATTAAAATCCTTCATAAAAATGTATATGTTTATTCATTACTAATAGCCAGCTGCTCATTTCATATATATATATGTGTGTGTGTGTGACCCTGGACCACAAAACCAGTCATAAGGGTCAATTTTATTTTTCATTGAGATTTATACACCATATTATTCATCAAAGTTGAATAAATAAGCTTTCCATTGATGTATGGTTTGTTATGATTGGACAATATTTGGCCAAGATACAACTATTTGAAAATCTGGAATCTGAGGGTGCAAAAAAATCTAAATATTGAGAAAATCGCCTTTAAAGTTATCCAAATTAAGTTCTTAGCAATGCATATTACTAATCAAAAATTAAGTTTTTATATATTTACAGTAGGAAATTTACAAAATTAAGACATAAAATATCTTTATGGAACATGATCTTTACTTAATGTACTAATGATTTTTGGCATAAAAAAAAATCAATAATTTTGACCCATACAATGTATTTTTGGCTATTGCTACAAATATACCCAAGTGACTTAAGACTGCTTTTGTGCTCCAGGGTCACATATAGTGGGTACGGAAAGTATTCAGACCCCCTTAAATTTTTCACTCTTTGTTATATTGCAGCCATTTGCTAAAATCATTTAAGTTATTTTTTTTTCCTCATTAATGTACACACAGCACCCCATATTGACAGAAAAACACAGAATCGTTGACATTTTTGCAGATTTATT